GCTTTATTGGCCGAGGGAGCCAGCATACAGCTTCTGGGTCATGTGGCCAGCATGACTAAGCCGCTTCTGGCGAACCAGAGCAGCGCACGGAAACACCGTTTACCTTCCCGCCGGAGCGGGTACCTATTTTTCTACTTGCACTTTGACGTGCTTTCGAACTGCTAGGTTGGCAGGAGCAGGGACCGAGCAACGGGAGCTCGCCCCATCGCGGGGATTCGAACCGCCGACCTTCTGATTGGCAAGTCCTAGGCTCTGTGGTTTAACCCACAGCGCCACCCGCGTCCCTGCAATAACTTAGGGTTTGCCTTTGCCTTTTCGGTTTGTTTGATTTTTTACTTGCAAAATCCTGACCCACGAAACACCAAGAGCAACCATAAAAATGTGCTAATAAAAGCTTCCTGGCTGATATTGAATGAGCCATGCAAAATAAAGCATTTGTTGGGAAATGTTAAATTAAGTCAAAGAAAAACAACTTTATATAACTATGTAAATAATAGTTTAATTGTAAATCAGTATAATGGGTGTAGTTGGAAGTTCTTTTTCTTTGCTGATTCGCATATCAGATATAATTATGTTCTTTTTCTATTCACACTCTTATTTCTCTTTCTTTTTTCTTTCATCTGTTCTTTTTTCTGTCTATACTCTTTACAATCTCTACAATCTAGTGAATGTTTGTATGTCGCTATTGTATGTATTTTAAGGTTTTTCTCGTTCAATAACAATTTATTTTTTTAAAAAATGTGCTAATGGCAGCTTTGGCATGTGGTGCACCTGTGGAATTAACTGTTCCTCTGAAGCATGAGCCATGATAGGTTCACCAGATGATTCAGTCTCCAGGGACTGACTGAAGCAATGGATAGGCATTGAGGATCCACTTATTGGCCTCACCAGAACAGGAAGTGCAAGGAAAGCAAAATGTTTTCCTCCATGGGGACTTAAGAACTGCCACCTGGTGGCAAGAGCATCCTTTATGCATCTAGCTGGGATGAAGCCAGAGTAGGCCACTGCTTTTCAACTAGTGGGTTCGTCACCTGATCCAAGGTGGGTTGCAACAGGAGCACTACCACCATGCAAATTTGTGGTCAAAGGTTAAGAAATGGGTCCCCCAATGTAAGTTTGTGTTAAAAATGGTTCCTGAGTCTGTAAAGATACCTGGTGTAAACAATACTGACCCAGGTACAGTGGTACCTCAGGTTAAGTACTTAATTCGTTCCGGAGGTCCATACTCAACCTGAAACTGTTCTTATCCTGAAGCACCACTTTAGCTAATGGGGCCTCCCGCTGCCGCCCTGCAGCTGTCACGCGATTTCTGTTTTCATCCTGAAGCAAAGTTCTTAACCTGAAGCACTATTTCTGGGTTAGCGGAGTCTGCAACCTGAAGTGTATGTAACCCGAGGTACCACTGTATTCTTCTCCTTCTCCTCTAATATTGGCCATTGACACTGCAAGCCAAAGTTCCCAAATTCCCTATAATTCCCAAAAGAATTATAGGGACAGAACTGCCTAAATTATGTAGAAATTTATTTATGTATGCGACTACAGCAGCGAGAATGCTACTGGCCCCAAAATGGAAAGAAGCAGAAGTTTTTGGATACAAAAATTTATGGAATATGCAGAAATGGTGAAACTTACCAGAAGAATAAGAAATCAGATTGACAAACTTTTTATAAAAGAATGGAAATGGTTGACTGAATATTTACAGATAAACTGCAAACAGATAAAAACTGGCATTGTAATAACCTGCACTTTCATAAGAGTATATATTTAAAGTAGATAATTAAATGAGCAAATTAAATGAATTTGGATATGCAGAAAATATTAAAAAATAAATTTATGGAACAGCAGAAAGAGGGGGAAAGAAGTCAAACTTCCAAATGTTAAAATGATTGTAAAATTAATGAAATGTATAAATTTGAAAAGTATATTAAAAAAATAAATAAAAAGAATGTAAGGCAAATGCGAGGTGTCCTGGGGGGGGGGCGGGTTGAGGCTTCCTTCCTTCCCTAACTCTCAAGGTTCCTCAACAGCAGGGTTGAGGAACCTTTTCTGCCCAGGAGTCTTCACCCTTTTCTTCCCTGTTCCTGCAGGGTCAAACTTGACAGGTGGGCAGTTTCTCTCTTTTCGCCTGAGGGCTGCAGGGCTGATTTGGAAGAACTTGATCAAAAATCCAAACTTGCCCTATTAAAAGCAGATTCTTAGGTATGTCAGGCTGTGCCAGGAGCAAGCCTCCTGGACCAATACAATAGGATTTACTCCTGAGTAGACATGTATACAGTGGTGCCTCGCAAGACGAAATTAATTCGTTCCGCAAGTTTTTTCTTCTTGCGAGTTTTTCGTCTTGCGAAGCACGGTTTCCCATAGGAATGCATTGAAAATCAATTAATGCGTTCCTATGGAAACCGCCTTCAGACCAGGTCCGGGGACAGTCTGTCCCCCGACCTCTTCTGAAGGCTGGGGGGGGGGGGACACAAGGGCTTTTCTTCCCATCCCCAGCATTTTAAAAAACCCCGGGACAGCGGAGGACTTCTCCGCTGTCTGGGGCGATCTTAAAATGCTGGCGGGCGGCATTTTAAAATCGCCCTGGACAGCGGAGGACTTCTCCGCTGTCCGGGGCGATTTAAAAGCCCCTGGGACCTCTTCTGAAGGCCGGCGGGGGGCGAAAGTCTTTGCTCCCCCCGGCCTGCCTTCCTGGGAGAGCGGAGAAACGCAGCGCGTTTCTCCGCTGTCCCCGACGGCTTTTGAAGGCAGGCGGGGAGGGGAGCAAAGACTTTCGCCCCCCGCCCGCCTTCAGAAGAGGTCCAGGACCTCTTCTGAAGGCTGGCTGGGGGCAAAAGTCTTTGTCCCCCCTGCCTGCCTTCAAAAGCCTTCCGGGACAGCGGAGAAACGCGCCGCCCGGGGCGATTTTAAACCCGCTGTCCCGGGTTTTTTAAAATCGCCCCGGACAGCGGAGAAGTCCCCCGCTGTCCCGGGGTTTTTAAAAAACCTCTCCGCCCCCCCCCCCCCGCCAGGCTTCGGAAGGCTGCTCCGAAGCCTGGCGGCGGGAGGAGGTCTCCGCCCCCCCGCCAGGCTTCGGAGCAGCCTTCCGAAGCCTGGCGCGGGGAGAAGGTCTCTCCGCACCCCCGCCAGGCTTCGGAGCATCCTTCCGAAGCCTGGCGGTGGGAGGAGGTCCGAGGACAGTGGGGAAGACGCGCTTCCCCGCTGTCCCGGAGATTTCCCTATGGGCTTTCGTCTTGCGAAGGAAGCCCATAGGGAAATTCGTTTTGCGAAGCGCCTCCAAAACGGAAAACTCTTTCGTCTAGCGGGTTTTCCGTCTTGCGAGGCGTTCGTCTTGCGGGGCACCACTGTAATAAGATTGCAGTGCCATTTACCAGCCCTAAAGTCACACATCTTCTCCCTGACACAGTAGGCTATGGTTTTTATATTTCAGATGAATTAATCAACTGTCACGCTCTAAGGATCATCGTCCTCAGGAGTTCACCAGACCTACTCCTCTGCTTATTTATAGCTATCGGGGGAAAACTTGCCCCCCCCCCTTAATCCCCGTTTTTAATAAATGGAATACATGATGGCAATGTTTTATTGCTGCTACTTGACATTTTAAGGGTTAAGGATTTTAACTTATGGCATTTGATGTTTAATGTGTGGACACTGTAAAGGCTTAAGGGGCCCCTAACCTGGGTTGTGGCGCTCATCTCACTTTACTGGCCGAGGGAGCCAGCATTTGTCTGCAGATAGCTTTCAGGTCATGTGGCCAGCAAGACTAAAACGCTTCTGGCAAACCAGAGCAGTGCATGGAAATGCCGTTTACCTTCCCGCCGGAGCGGTACCTATTTATCTACTTGCACCGGCATGCTTTCAAACTGCTAGGTTGGCAGGAGCAGGGACCGGACAACGGGAGCTCACCCTGTCATGGGGATTTGAACCGCCAACCTTCTGATCGGCAAGCCCTAGGCTCTGTGGTTTAGACCACAGCACCACCGTTTAATTACTTTGTTCTGTTGTGTTTATGACCACTGGCGGAGGAGGAAGAGTGGGGGGGGGAGCGCACCGCCCCCAGCAGTGCGATCCCAGTGGGGTGCCATCGCGGCTTCCCACCACCACCATAGGTGGCGTGCCATGCCCCCAGGACGCGTGCCAGCCCCAGCCCTGCTTGCTCTCCCCGCACGCACGCACACACCCCCGCTGGAGCATGAAGCTCCACCACTGTTTATGATTTATAACCTGTTTTATGAATTATGTTTGGATTGAAAAAGGAAGGCGACCCCAAAATGTCACACCCGTAATTCGGGTTATCAGCATGTCGGGCGGTGGGGGGGGGCGTTTGTTTCACTGTGCAATCCTATACATGCCTACTCAGAAGTAAAACCCCCTGAGTTAGATGCTACTTACCCTAAGGTAGTGAGGCTGGGATCCTAGCCACCTACGCAGGCTTACCTGAGAGCGGATTCCATTGCGCTCACTTCTGAGCCGGCAAGGTGAGAACGGTGGCATTCTTAGCCCCTCCTCCGCGGTGCTGCGCTTAGAATCCGCTTTCTGCTTTCTTCGTTGCGGTTTGCCGTCGTTCTTGGTCCGGATCAAAGAATCACAAAGTTATCAGGGACCACCAGGGTCATCTAGTCCAACCCCCTGCAGTGCAGGAATCTTTTGCCCAACGTGGGGATGGAAGAACGAGAGCTGCGTCGAGGCCCCTGGATGAAAAGAGTAGACGCTGGTTCCTTACAAGGCTCGAGGGAGCTGGGGTTAGGGGGGGTTGGGGGGCAACCCTTACTTGTTCCTCTGCCACGGGGAGGAATAGTTCGGCGGGCGGGGAGGTTCTGCTCCCTAGATCCTGTATGACGTCAAAGCCCCCACCAAGAGTTCTTCGTGATGTCACGACGTGAAGGGGGAATCCCTAGACGAGAGCCCCCTTCCTAGCGTGTGACGTCACTCGGCAAAGGGGGAAGACCCCCTTCTCCCTCCCGCTCCTGAAGGGGAGGAATCCCCCCCGCTCATTACGCGCTTGTGACGTCACGGGAAGGCGTGGGGATTCCGGAGGGAGGCCCTCCTCTCCGCAGGGCGGTTCCTCCGGGCGGCGGGAGAAGCGCAATTTGCCCGCCATGGCTGCTCTTCAGCTCCTGATGATGGTCCCGGCGCTGGGCAGCTTCCTGTTCACCTTCGGGACCGGCGTGGAGCTGGTCCGCTTCGTCTCCTTCCGCGCTCTGTTCCTGCAGCCAGGGACGGGGCCTGCCCAGCACAGAACCGGTGCGGAGGCGTAGGGGCGGGAGAGAAATGGAGGGGTCATGCGGGGGAGGGAATGAGAGCTTGGGGTTGCAAAGGGGTGCGAGGTGCGCGGTCTTTGGAGCAGGGATCCGGCGGCCCTCCAGGTGTGGGGCTCTGTATCGGGTCCAGGGCAGCATGGGCAGTGCTGAGGGATGACGGGAGTTGTAGGTCAGCAGCATGCCAAGAGGTATGAAAAATTGCCCCTTCATCCCTTCCTTTTATTTTTGGTTTGGATCCTGAAGACGCCCAGGCGAGTGGCAGGAGGCTGAAACTCTAAAGCAGCCACTTTGAAACTGAGAAAGTCAAATGATAAGAATTCCTAGATCTTAGATAAGATGCTTTTAACACTGTGTTTTTATGTTGCAATGGTTCCTTGTTGGAAGTTTGCGTCTTGCCCTGGGCGTTTTCCAACAAGCAGAAATAAATGTGGCGCCTTGTTGTGAAAGGCAGGCAGGGAGAAGGATGTGGTCTGGCTCCCCTCCCCCTCCCCCTCCCCCCACCCCCCCGCTGATGCTACTAGCATGTGAACAATATGGTTTGGTAATAATATCCCATGATGTTGTTAAAGATGATTGGATAAAAATGTCTGTATGTTCTACTTCCTGCTCTGTACGTTAAGGCCATTCAATCCAGAAGCTTCCCAGTACATTAAGAGAGCCTTCCCCAACCTGCTATCATCCATAAGTTTTGAAGTACGACTCTCACCATCCCTGCTGGCCGGGACTGATGGGTGTTGGAGTCCAACATCTCATAAATAACAGGATCTGAGATTACAGAATTATAGAGTTGGAAAGGATCCTGAGGATCATTTGGTCCAATCCCCCTGCAATGCAGGAATATGCAGCTGTCCCTTACGGGGATTGAACCTGCAACCTTAGCACTATCGGCACCACACTCTAACCAACTGAGCTATCCAGAGAACACCAGCTTGTGGAAGGATTGTTTTAAGATGATGAGAGAGAGAAAGACAGAGAGAACAATTTGTCTCTGGGATCCGTTTCTGGGCTACTATCTGAGATCCTCTGCCAGCCCCCTGCTGCATGCACTAGGCCTCACCTTGAGCAAACCTCTTTTCTTTGCAGATGCTGCTCCTCATCTTCAATGGGAAGCTGCCCTGAGGGATCCCAAGATTCTGCGGCCACTAATGGTGGACGTGGGCTTAATTGTCCTCTTCATCCTGCAGCACAGCCTCATGGCCACTCAGCAAGTCAAACACTGGACCAGAAGTTGCTTTGGAGTTCTACAGAGATCTTTCTATGTCTTCTGCACAGCACTGACTCTCCAGGTAGGGGTATCAATTTGGGGCACCAAAATGGGGGGAGAGGACTGAAGGGGAGGAAGAAGTCCCACAGGCAAGATAACAGAGCAACTCACGAGTGAATTCTTGCCCAAGTCAGAAAAGCTAAACTCAAAATGCAGAAAAAATCTTCCTGGCATGATGCCGTTTAGATTTCACACTCTGCACTTTCATGGAAGCAATATTTCCAAAGCAAATCCCCCAATTTCAGCATTAAGTCTTTGCTCCTTGGTACAAATTATTTTGATAACGGACCTCCCAAACTCACACCGTTATCTCAGCATAGCCTTCATTATGGTGCGAAGCAAAATGCATCATTGTAATGATGAACACTAGAATCTTGCACAATTTAAAAACAACAACAACCCAGTATGGATATGATTTGTATGATTTGGCTAATGCATGCAGGTCCAGCAGATTTTCTACAATGTGATTGCAGTTTTGGAGTCCCAAAATGCAGCCATATTAGACGTGTGCCTGCAGGAGAATCTACCTTTATCTAATGCGCCTTTTCCTTCCCACCTAGCTGCTGATGAGGTACTGGCAGCCTGTGCAGGATGCTCCTGTGCTCTGGAATACGAGCAGGGAGCCGTGGGTCACTTGGGTCCCTCTCATCTGCTTCATCCTCCACTTCATTGCTTGGCTGGTCATCTTTAGCATCCTCCTCATCTTTGACTACGCAGAGCTGATGGGGGTGAAACAGGTACCGCGCAGCTTCCCTTTTCCCATCTAGAGAGGCCACCGTCTCGTATTTGGCGGCTGAGCTCAGCGAGGCCCAATGACCCAACCAATGAGGGTGATATAAGATATTTCCTCATGCTGTAAAATATTTCTATAACAATACAACCATCCACATTTGGAGATTCCTCAGAATCTCTGGACTTCCCACCTTCCCCTCTGTGGGTCCTATTATTAAACCTTTTCTACTGCATCTCTTTCAATAGTCCGTATTTTATATCGGTCCATAGTACTTGCTACGAGTGCTATTGCAATCCTGCTAATGTTTTCATCTGTTTACAGTGGTCTCCAAGATAAATTATAAATTTCCCCCATCCTTTCCTAAAGTTATGGTCTTCTTGGTCAGTTTTGCCATTTTGGCATAGTCCAGCAGTTTAATTTGCCATTCCTCTCTGGTAGGGACATTATCGTGGAACGCCCTCCCATCAGATGTCAAAACGATAAACAACTACCTGACATTCAGAAGACATCTTAAGGCAGCCCTGTTCAGGGAAGTTTTTAATGTATGATATCTTAGTGTGTTTTTTGTTTCTATGGAAGCCGCCCAGAGTGGCTGGGGAAACCCAGCCAGATGGGCGGGGTATAAATAATAAATTATTATTATTATTATTATCTTCTTTCCATCTCTGGAATTCTGAGGGATTTTTGGTCAAGGCAGGAACCGCAGAAGCACTTAGTGTTGCCTCAGCAGTCCAGACAACAAAACAAAAACAAATCTCACATTCCCCCTTTGTGTATATGAAGAGGCCGAATGTGTAAAAAGGTAAAGGGACCCCTGACCATTAGGTCCAGTCGTGACCGACTCTGGGGTTGCGGCACTCATCTCGCTTTATTGGCCGAGGGAGCCGGCGTACAGCTTCCGGGTCATGTGGCCAGCATGACTAAGCCACTTCTGGCGAACCAGAGCAGCACACGGAAACGCCGTTTACCTTCCCGCCGGAGCGGTACCTATTGATCTACTTGCACTTTGTGCTTTCAAACTGCTAGGTTGGCAGGAGCAGGGACCGAGCATCACCCCGTCGCAGGGATTCGAACCGCCGACCTTCTGATCGGCAAGTCCTAGGGTTTAAAATGGTGTCGTTTCCCCAAAAGATTTGGGCATCTGCGGTGCAAATGGGTGTTTCTCTCATTCCGTAGGTTTACTACCACTGCCTGGGCATGGGGGACCCTTTGGCCGTGAAGTCCACAAGTGCCATCCGCCTCTTCTCCCACCTGCGTCACCCCGTGTACCTGGAGTTTCTCCTCATCCTGTGGGCCGTTCCCTGCCTTTCTCTCGACCGCCTGCTCCTCGCATTGCTCTTCACAGCCTACATCACCTGCGCCCACAACCTTGACCAGCAGGACTACCTCTACCTGCGAGCTCAGCTGGACAAGAAGTTCCAGATCTTCTCCCGTGAGGAGGCAGCCTATGAGGATCTGCTGGCTCAGAATGGCCCCTCCGTCCCTAAGAACTGAACCGGTGTGGCCCCAATTTTATATGCAGGTGCTGTTGTCCTAGTATATTGGGGCCTGATTGCCTTGTACCTTGCACTCTCCCATGCTAAGCACTGAACGATGCAATGTGCCTTGTATATCCTTCTGCTTTTATGCACTCGGGACTTGAGTGGTCTATAAATGGGACCTAAGAGTTCTGGCTTCCAGCAGGCCTACTTTGCTACAATTCTTAGAACACATATAAGGAGTTCTATATGGTGATCCCACATGGTCCAGTAGGTTGGAATCCTTGAGGAAAGAGGTGGAACTCCAAAGATGGCAGAATTCAACCCCAAGTTCCTTGGAGGGAAGTCTCTAGAGCAGGGGTGGGGGGAAGCCTATGGCCCTCCAGAAGTTGGTGGACTTCAGCTGCCATCAACATCTGGAGGGCTGTGGATGCCCCATACCTGCTGTATAGCCTTAAAGGGATATATTGGGACCAAAAAGAGCCCCCCACACACACTAGTGCTAAGAAGAACAATGAGTCACTGATAACCGATTGGAGTTTAGGTGAGGTGGTCAGGTTGTTGTTGTTTGAGGGAGGCTTTTTTACGATTTACAACAGCAGGCAGGTAGCTCAACAGACAAAATGTTCCCCATCTCTGGGAAAGTTGGGCCCTTTGGAATCAGTGGGGCACTGCCCCAGTGTAGCCTTATGAGGCTTTGCCCTCGGGTGGGAAAAATATTGCGCCCGGGAAAGGGAGATGGGAGTCAACAGACACTCAAGGAATAGTTTCGGAGAAAAAGCTTTTATTTCTACCATCCATGAACTGGTAGAAGGAGCAAGTGTGATAACTCACAAAAAAGCATGCACGGGTTCACAGTCATGTGCACAGAGCATATATACCCCTTCCAGTTCCCTCCCTTTCTTCTCCTTTTCCAGGAGTCCTGCCCCATGAGTTCCTCTGAGCATGAACAGAAAGCTGTCTTGGGACTATTGTGGACTCTTGGCACCCTTCCCAGGAAAGGGGAATGAGAGTGGTTCAGCATGTCCAAGAAGGTGCAACTAGAATGAGATAAAAGTCAGTTCTCAGGCCTGCTCTGAACAGAGCCTATTCATTAGCTTTTTGAAGCCTTCTCATGCTGATAAAAGAATAACATTTTGCCTTGCAACAGCAGAGCAAATGAGCAGATGCTTAGCTGCTGAGAAAATGATTTTGAAAAGCTTTGAGGGGGGGTGACTTCGGGCCTAGGTGGGGTCACCTGTCCTCACCTCCTACACCAGTAACCTCAGTCTGCCCCCAGCCATTCCCCCCCCCCCCCGCTAGCTGGCTTTACTTACAACCAGTTAGGGGGTGGCTCTGTCTGTCATGGACTCTGCGGCTGGTCTTCCTGCCCAAGAGGACACCAGGCACACCTGACTGGGATTCTGCAGCTGTTAAAAAGCACAGAAGATGCCTCAGTTGAAATTCATTATAATAACAAAGCTTTTTTATTATTATTTCTGTACCCCCTTGCTAACAAAGTATTTTTATACATATGAAAAGCAAATCATGGGTTGATAAGATAATGGTTCGTAAAGTAAAAAAAAGGGTGTGTGTTTTTTAAAAAAGTTTGTTTGTCTCTGTTCTGAAATTTGGTTTAGAACCAAATTTGGTTTAGAACTGGGTTTTTCAATTCATTTTCTGCTACAGAACTTCTGCCCAAGTGATTTTTAAAGTATAGGATTTTTAACTTTGATTCACAAGCAAGAACTATTTTAAAGAGGTAGCAGCCTAGATAATTTGTGGAGTGGGCTGTGAGGTTTTTTTGCTTTTTGCAAATATATCTCTTCAGCACAGTGTCTTCCAAATACATTTCTGTTCCAAGCAAGCCATCAGAATTCATTGCCCATCCTCTTGCTTCTGTCGTGTCAATTCAGTTCCAAAGCATTCTTAATTCCAAGGCCTACCTGGGCTGAACAAGACAAGGCCTTGAGAAAGATTCTGGTCAAGATGGCTGTCCAGCAGTGGACCACCTGCCTCTCAAACCCAAATATATCTCCATGCGGTGGGTGACTTTTAACTCACCCCGCCCATCAGAATTAATGACAAAAACTATAATTTATGTGATCTTTGAATCAAGTACATTTACAGGCAAAAGCGGGCTGGGGGGGGGCAGGGGTTGATTCTAGGATTATGTCTCCAGGCTCTACCTAGCAATGGTTGGATCTTTGCCTTCATTTGTAACTCAATGCCTTGAACATCCACTAGCATTTCTTTTTAAATGCTGATAATGCTTTTATTGTAGCTTTTTTATTATTATTTCTGTACCCCCTTGCTAACAAAGTATTTTTATACATATGAAAAGCAAATCATGGGTTGATAAGATAATGGTTCGTAAAGTAAAAAAAAGGGTGTGTGTTTTTTAAAAAAGTTTGTTTGTCTCTGTTCTGAAATTTGGTTTTAATGTAAAGTGTTTCAATATATTTGGGTTTATTTATAAAGCAGAAGTGACCAGCTGCTCCCGGAAGCTAAAAATGAGCTCTGTATCAACAAAAGTTTTACCTATACAGTGGTACCTCAGGTTACATACGGTTCAGGTTACATAAGCTTCAGGTTACACACGCCGCTAACCCAGAAATAGTGCTTCCGGTTAAGAACTTTGCTTCAGGATAAGAACAGAAATCGTGCTCCAGCAGCGCAGAAGCAGCAGGAGGCCCCATTAGCTAAAGTGGTGCTTCAGGTTAAGAACAGTTTCAGGTTAAGAACGGACCTCTGGAACGAAGTAAGTACTTAACTTGAGGTACCACTGTAATTATTCATGATGACAAGTTGTAAGAAATGAGAGATTTTCTACCCCTGAGCTTTCGAAGTACAACTCCCATCAACCTTGGCCGTACGGGCTTATAAGAGTTGTTGCCCAACATGTGAGCAACCCCATGTTGGAGATCCCTGCTCTATACATTTATTTATTTTTTGTTTAATTTCTATACCCTTTATATTTTTAAGAAAAACCTCAACGCGGGTTAAAGCATATTAAATCAATAAAACATAAATAAATCAATTTGAAAAAAGCGAAATATAGAGTATACTGTCAAAGCAACATAACAGAAAACTAAAACATTATCTTAAAGATTTCAAAATAAAACATTACAAAGGAGGTCAACTACAGAATACATATTTAACATAGTAGGGCTGGGTGAGTCTGGGCCCCACCCCCAAGACCAGGTGGGAAAGGCCTGGCAGGGAGTGGCCTTCACGCCTCACAGCCAGGCGATGTTCCTCCGGCCTCATGAGAATCCTCTCTAATGGGACCCAAGTGTGTTTAAGGTTGCAATTAACTTAATCTTCCCTAGTTCTGCTTTTAGCAGAAGCATGTGCCACTCCCACTGCCCAGCTTCAAAATCAGAGTAGCAACCACATGTATCCTATAGTCACGTTTAGCTCTTTCTGTTTGGCATCGCTAAGGCTCTCCTCCCCCCGCCCCCCTCACGAAACAACAGCCTCCTTTTAAGCACCCCAACAGTTATTTACCGCCCCCCCCCCATTCCTCTCACGGCACATGTGTGATACACACGCTTCGCCCTAATGCCTCCTGAAGCATCTTAGGCTACGAGACGAAGGGATGCTCTCCTGCTAAATGCACACTGATTACAGGCACATACTTGGGAGCAACAAGAACTAGCCTTGCGTGGAAAAAGAAGCATCCCCTCTACTTCTCTTCCCTTCTCCCCTCGCCCCCACCCAAGGGCCAGGCCCATGCTTTCTCCCGTAAACCAAAACCTAACCAGGGACCCAGCTGAGGAGAGCTGCACTGAGGCGCATTCGTGGGAGCCTCCCCCTGAATCTTCCCAGGAGCAGGAGGACTGTATAGATTTGGAACAGTGGTTTGCGGAGGAACATAGTTCATAATAATAATAATAATTTTTATTTATACCCTGCCCTCCCCAGCCAAGGCCGGGCTCCACGTGGCTAACAAGCAATAATAAAAACAAGTTGAATGAATACAACTTAAAAACAAGATTAAAATACATTAAAATATTGAAACATTAAGATATTAAAACGCAGCTTCATCACAGGAGAATGGAAAAGAAAGGGGGGGAGAGAATCAAATTGGCTCCAAGCCAAAGGCCAGGCAGAACAACTCTGTCTTACAGGCCCTGCAGAAAGAAATCAGATCCTGCAGGGCCCTGGTCTCATGAGACGGAGCGTTCCACCAGGCCAGAACCAGTGTTGAAAATGCCCTGGCTCTGGTTGAAGCTAATCTAACTTCCTTAAGGCCCAGGACCACTAGGGTGTTGCTATTTATGGACCTTAAGGTCCTCCATGGGGCATACCGGGAGAGGCGGTCCCGTAGGTACAAGGTGGGTACAAGGGTCCTAGGCTGTGAAGGGCTTTAAAGGTCAAAAGCAGCACCTTAAATCTGACCCTGTACTCCACCGGGAGCCTGTGCAGCTGGAAAAGCACTGAGTGAATATGCTCCCATGGCAGAGACCCCGTGAGGAGCCTCACTGTAGCATTCTGCACCCGCTGGAGTTTCTGGGACAGCTTCAAGGGCAGCCCCACATAGAGCGAATTACAGTAGTCAAGCCTGGAGGTGACTGTTGCATGGATCACTGTGGCCAGGTTGGGGCGGGAAAGGTAAGGGGCCAACTGCTTGATGTGGCGAAGGTGGAAAAATGTCGCCTTGGCTGTTGCTGTAACCTGCACCTCCATGGAAACTCTTCTTAACGGAAGGCAATGGCACTAATTGGGCCCCCTCAAGAGAAGGGAGTTGGTCCCTCATTCCCATGCCATCCCGACCCAGCCATAGGACCTCTGTCTGGAAAGGATTTAGTGTCAATTGGCTCCAATGAAACTATCCAGCCACAGCTTCCAAGCATCTGGTCAGTGTGTCCGGGGCCAAGTCAGTGTGGCCATCCATCAGCAGATAGAGCTGAGTGTCATCAGCATATTGGTGACAGCCCAGCCCAAAGCTCCGGATAATCTGGGCAAGGGGGTGCATAAAGATGTTAAGAAGCATTGGGGCGAGGATTGCGCCCTGTGGCACTCCACACACCAATGAGTAGTGTGACGACATCTCCCTCCCTAGTGTCACCCTATGTCCCCGACCAGAGACCAGCCATTTACGGGCTATGCCCTTTATCCCCATGTCAGCAAGGCGGTGGTCCAGAAGATCATGATCGACCATGTCAAAGGCTGCTGACAAATCTAAAAGAATCAGCAGTCCTGACCCGCCTCGATCCAATTGTCTACGGAGATCATCTGTTAGGGCAACCAGAGCAGTCTCGGTCCCGAAACCAGGATGGAACCCAGACTGAAATGGATCTAAATCCGATGTTTCCTCCAGAAACCTACCAAGCTGTTCAGCTCTCTCAATTACCTTACCTTATGGAAGATTTTAAACTGTGCGGTAATTGGATAGGTCTAAAGGATCTAGTGACATTTTCTTTAAGAGCGGACACACCACTGCTTCCTTCAGTTCCCCTGGGAATGTCCCCGTGCCAAGGGACAAATTGATAATTTCAACCAGGGGGTTCACGCGACATCTGGACATGCCCTAATCAGCCAAGATGGGCACGGATCGAGGAGGCAGGTGGTGGGCCTACCAGCTTGGAGGAATCTATCCACATCAGCAGGGAATATCCGATCAAAATGGTCCAACACTGGACTCGAAGACAGTCGAGGGGCCTCCAGTTCAGTCAATGTATCTAAATTGGCAGGGAGGTCACGGCGGAGCAACAGGACTTTCTCCACAAAAAAGCTCGTGAATGCCTTACAGCTATGGGTCGAATTTGTGCTTAAATTTGGTTGTCCTCCTAAGGACGTTATCGACCTAATTATTCTAAAAAGTTGTGCCAGGCGAGAGCTAGCAGATGCAATGGAAACTGTGAAGTAAGATTTCTTAGCAGCTTTCACAGCCATCTCATAGGCTTTCATAAGTGTCCTATAAGATGTTCTTGAAACTCCGTCACGAGTCCGTCGCCATACTTACTCTAGCCGTCTCAGATCCCGCTTCATTTTCTGGAGCTCTTCAGTAAACCAAGGGGCCCGGTTTCGATGGGGTCGCAGAGGGTGCTTAGACGACCTCATCGATGGCTGCCAATAGCCGGTTATTCCAGTCCTCGACAAGGTCATCTAATGAGTCGCCAGGAGGAGCAGGGTCCCACAAGGCCTGATGGAATCTATCAGGATCCATCAGCCTTCATAAAGGTAAAGGTAAAGGGACCCCTGACCATTAGGTCGAGTCGTGGCCGACTCTGGGGTTGCGGCGCTCATCTTGCTTTATTGGCCGAGGGAGCCGGCGTACAGCTTCTGGGTCATGTGGCCAGCATGACTAAGCTGCTTCTGGCGAACCAGGGCAGCACACGGAAACACCGTTTACCTTCCCACCGGAGCGGTACCTATTTATCTACTTGCACTTTGACGTGCTTTCGAACTGCTAGGTTGGCAGGAGCAGGGACTGAGCAACGGGAGCTCACCCCGTCACGGGGATTCGAACCACCGACCTTCTGATTGACAAGTCCTAGGCTCTGTGGTTTAACCCACAGCGCCACCCGCGTCAGCCTTCATGGGCAAGCCCAAATAGGCTCGCTACCCGAGCAGGGGAGGAGCGGGAAGCCAATCAGAAGGCAAAAGCTGGGAAATACTGGATGGGGAACAGCTTGGAGAAGAAACTCGGGGGGGGGGGAGATAACAGATTCACTGTCTCTGGAAAGCATCTATCCGCTTTCCCCAAGGTCAAGGAGAGTTGCAAAAGTGGCAGAACAGAAAGCACAGCGGGTACAGGCTCAGGTTAGGAGACGCAGAAGTGACGGGGGTGACTAGGGATGTGAGGGGGTGGACTTCTTCATTGGGAGCACCGCCATTCCTAGAAGACGGGTTCTTTGTTCTCTCGCTGGGATCATAAAAGTTTCTAACGGGTAAGAAGACTCCTTTCCCTTTGTTCTGCTTATCTACGGCCAAGGGGGAAGGAAGCCAATTCCCTGAAGCCTGACAGATGCTGATCCACAAGACAAGGCAGCCCATCACTTTGGCATTGAAGGGTGGAGGTCAAAACTCAACAGATTCATCACACACCTTGAACATTCCAGATTAACACTCTCCCCCTTTTTATCTAGCAACAACTAGCAAGTTATTTTGTACATTTACTATATGTGACTTGTCAGCATCGCCCTTGAGCCACCAACTGGACTCATCCACTTCAGCCCCGACTGGGCTAGGCGAGCTGGGTAGCACTTCCAGAGACCACCTTCTATACAGGAACAGGTCAAAGTGCTATGGACTCACAGCTTAGAGTTGTGAACACCGGATTCACTCCAACAAGAAGACAGTCATCGCACAGCAGAGTAGAGCAGAGCATAAACGACTCGGAGAGCAGCTCTGTAGAATATCTTCTTTATTCTATCTACAACTATAATACACAACTATAT